CATCTGTGAATGTTATGAACAAATCATTACCATCCACACTCTTTACAGAAAACTGACCACATATGTCTGTGTGAATAATCTATAAAATTCCTACGCTTCGTTTGTCATCTTTCTTAATCTTCTTTACATACTTTCCTTTTATGCATTCCATGCATTGTTCTTAATCTGAAAGCTCTAATGGAGGAAGAATATCATTCTTAACTTGTCTTTCTATTCTCCCCCTCGAAATATGGCCTAAACGACAGTGCCATAATTTCGACAATGCATCGTGAGTTCTTTTATGCCACCACTTCCAGATTAACAATCTGTCACCAGTTGCTTCATCAGCTGAGTGGCATATATCTTTGAAGAGCCAGTAAACTGACTCTTTATTCTATCGAGGTACTCGGTGACCGTGTCATATTCTGGGATTGAGCCCACAATTACATGTTCAATCATGTTCTTTATCACAGTCAAACATTTCTTATTGGCAGTGACCCACTTTCTATGCTCAAAAGTCATATGACATCTTTTGGGATTCAAAATCCCTTTCTTTAGTTGCCCAAGTGGCATAATTCTCTTTTGTCTCCCTCACCGGTGCCACAAACTCAGTGGAACACGGTGAGGTGACTACCCAGTCTACCTTAGACAAGATGAAAACCAGGTCAAAACTTTTCTTAACATAAAAATAACACCATTTGCATGCCTTGATTCCAACGTTGGTCAAAATCAAAACATATAACTGTTCGTATACACTAATTCTACATCATCGTTGGGCAGAAATAGAATTAATGCATAAATCATTAACTTTTACATATGTTCTCATACACTAATTCTACATCACCGTTGGACAGAAGTAAATTTAATGCATAAATCATTAAAATTATAACTCTTCTTATACATTAATTCTACATCACCGTTGGGCAGAAGTAGAATTAATGCATAAATCATTAAAATTACGATATTGTTAGTAACAACGTTGGTTAGAAAATAACAACATCATAATTATGTCAAATCTCTTTTTCTCCAATTAAATACCACATTGGTTCAAAAATAACCGGAGAATCAATATTTTCTTTAGTAGCGGAAAAAATCTCTTTTTCTCCAATTAAATACCACATTGGTTCAAAATAACTGGGGAATCAACAACTTTTTTTAGCAGCGAAAAAACTTTCACTCAATTTCTTGAATCTTACCCACAGGGAAAATTTACTTTTTCTATTTTCTTTAAGCTATTAATCAATTTCCAGGAAATAAACATTTACTGGAAAAAGGAAAACGAAAAAATTACTCAAATTATCACTGTTCTTCCGGCCCGGCCAGCAAAACAGCCTGGCCCAGCTACTCTCCGCGCGCGCTGCCGTACCCAGGCCGCAACCAGGGCTTGGGCCGGCAAAGCCGCGCCGGTGCGCTCGCCCACCTGGGCCGCGGGTCGGCCCGATCATCCGGGGCCGTTCATTTCTGATATGATGGTAGCGCGCGCGGATAGGGAGAACAAAAACCCCACCCACGGCCGCGCCCTCCAAACCCTAGCTCATTCGCACTCTGCCCTTTCTCTCTCTTCATTCTCTCTTCTCAGCTGTAGCGATGACAGCAGCCACCGAGCAGCCGCGAGCGAGGACGGCAGAGCGGGTAGCCATGGCGCCGTCGCCGGCCCCCTCGTCGGCGCGCGTGCTCCCCAACGGGTGAGCACACCGCCGTCGAGCGACCTAGCCGGGGCACCCCCTTGGCCGAGCCCGGTGAAACGCTACCCCCGGTTCGGCCCTTCTTCTCCCGCGCCGGCGAAGGGCCATCCCGACGCACGGCGAGGTAGGTCCGTCCCCTTTTCTCCCCTTTCTTCTCCGATTTGGATCTCGTTTCTCTTATCCGAACCGGTGATGGGGATTAGGGTTTGGACTGTTCTTCTTCTTTCTTTGGTTTTTGTTTCTTTTCTTCTCTGGTTCTCTTTTGGTGCTCGGATTGAACTGATTTTAATCTTCTTTCTTTGTTTTTGGAGTTCACCCGAATGGGGATCTAGGGTTAGGGTTTCATTTTCTTTTGATTTCTTTTTCTTTTCAGAGTTCATCCAAATCGGTTCCCTTCCCTTTCTTCCCCCTTACCCTTCTTTTGTGATTAACCCAATTTGGGATGGGGTTAAAAATTTGGGTTAGGGTTTCGAGATTTAACTCTTTTCTAGGCCGAAAACCCTTTTCTTTTCTTTTGGATCTTGTTTCTCTTTTCAGTTGAGTCCGATTTGGATTTCTTTTGATTTCTTTTCTTTTCTTTGATTTCTTTTTTGATTTAGGGTTCGGCTCTGTTCATCTTAAGGCTGAAACCTTTTCTTTTCCTCCTTTCTTTAACCCAGTTAGGGTTAGGGTTTTAGTGCCGAGGGCCCTTCTTTTTCTTCTTCCCCGAGTTGTTTGCGCGGGTTAGGGTTAGGGTTCTTGAGATCCTTTCCCCTTTCTCTTCTCTGATCCGAACACGGATGTTCTTCTCTTGTTTTCTTGCCGCACGCCGTTGAGGACGGCGGTGTGGCACTTTTCCCCGCGCGGTGGCGGTGGTGACCGGTAGTCAGTGACGTCCGCCACCCCGGTCTTACTTCTCTTTTCTTTTACCCGGTTAGGGTTAGGGATACACAGAGGCAACCTAGCTCTGGTACCATTGTTAGAATCGAATGTGTACCTCTGTGTGTGTAACCGTAGACCCGGGGACGATCTCTTCCTTTAGGGCTTCTCCACTCGCCCTGGGACAGTAGCATCGCAGCGGGTAGGCGCCGCTGTAACGGTGTAGAAGACGTCGGTTGTGCTGTAGTGGAACGGTGGAACCTCGCAGTATGACGGTGAGCTTGGTGGGGCACATCCTGTCGTGGCGGCATGCTTTAGGATCGGATTAGGGGTTTTTCTCAGAGGTGGGTGGCGGCTCCGTTCAACCTCGTGACCCGAGCCCCCTCCCCTCCTCTATATATATATGTCTTTGTCAGTGCTGACAGGCCCACCAACTTGATTAGGGTTGGGCTCCCCGATCGAGGAGGCGAGGCAAGGCCCAATAGGCCGTTGGGCCTATTGGTGGAGATCAACTAACAAATCGCCATTGGTGGGCTGCGAGATGGATCCACCGCCATCGTGCCAAAGGAGGCGAGCTCGGCTCACGCACGGATCCGCCCATCGCCAAGCCAAGGCGACAAGCACGTCATGGATCTAGGATGAAAGCGCCCGGTAGGGGCGGAGGCGATGGCGCCGGTTGCTTGAGAGGAGGGCGCTGTTGGAAGCGCTGTGGGGGCGAGAGGCCAACGGCGCTTGTTGTCGGAGTTGAGGAAGGCGAGGGGAGGTCGTGGGGAGGAGGATGGGGCCTCGGGCTTGGCACGAAAAGGATGGCGCGAGCGTGGGAGCCTGCTCGCCTGCTCCATGGCCGCCTGCCCGCCATGGGAGCTCGAGGGGGAACAATAGAGAGGGGAAGGAGAAGATGGATGGGGACCGGAGAGGGAGGAAGGGGATAAGGCATGGGCCCATTTGTAAGTGAGTAAGAGAAAGACTAGCAAGGGCATTTCAGGCCATACGAAAAATATGTATCAACACATACTGTACGTCTTTCACGTGGGTCCAATGTCATTGGAGACGTATAAAATGGCATGTTCAAACAATATGTGAATTGTAATGACAACCTTCTAAATAGACAAATAGTAATGTCATATCTTATAAGCATGGAAATTATAACAAAATGGATCACAAAACCCTATATTTTAGGTGCTTGATATTGTTTGTTTAGACAACATGGTTTTTTTTATTGTTTGACTATAGAAAAAATAAGTTGTCTCCTGTGATTTGTCCTTTTAATTATATGACTTGTTGGTTGTCTTTGTATGAAAACTCAAGCATACGAAATGTAGCAACTCCATTATTATTTAGTAAATCTGTTTTCTGATAGTGGTGGATGGTTAGATGCGAATTTGGAGGCACTTTATATTGTTTTTCTTAATTTCACATATGGGGTCACCTTAGAATTTTTTTTATAATGGTGGAGGTGCTAGTTTAAATAGTTGCAAATTCTTACGAGTGTGTGGTGGGGAGGGGAGTGTTTAGCTTATTTGTCAATATACTGGTTCGTGTATGTAGTTTAGACATGTCGGCGTGTTCGGCTGATCATGTCTTAGATTGTTTCAGCTTGTTTCAGCTTATTCTCTCTCACAGAACACTATTAAATCATCCAAAATCAATCGAACTACAGTGCCATGGGTACCAGCCGAACACCACAATTGACTTGTGTTACTTTAGGTTTGTTAGATATAGACTTAATGGGTTATTTTTGGGGTTTTCAGAATGGTAAGTGACCATACACATGAATAAAAATAGGATGCATTGGATGCATTAATGTTAATAGTGATCATAGTCTCCCCATGTTTTTATATTTTTTTTGATGAATTGTAATACTTGTCTATTTTGTGATAATTAACGAGGAAGCTTTAAAAGAAGCCTTCGATTAGTAACAATAATGTGAATTCGCTATATATATAATTGAGCTTAGCACGTGCCTTTTATATACTATGCATACAAGTAATGCTAAGTGGATTAGTTCTTAATTAGTTGATTATTGTTTTGGAATGAATCACTTTTGGTGTATTGCTCATAGCATTCACAAAATATAATGTCTAACTGCCGTATACAGTTTGGGCGGTAACCTCCCCGCTCCAAATATCTCATCACAAAAACAAACTTGAGAGTCTTGAGTCTAATACTAATATTAATCTATATCAGTATCTATATCTATACCTATATTTTTAGTGTCATATTTATATCTATATCTATATTTTTTAATGTCATATTTATATATATATCTATATCTATATCTATATTTTTTAGTGTCATATTTATATTTGGGAATATCTATATTTATATCTATATCTATATCTATAATTTTTTAGTGTCATATCTATATCTATATCTATATTTTTAGTATCATATTTATATCTATATCTATATCCATATATATCGCTCTATATCTATGTATATACCCTACCTTACTTTTTCAAGGGTGTGTGCTCTTCCATGGCGGACTTCCAGACGGACCTATCGAAGAGGATCGACGACGTGGAGGCTGCTCTCGGTGCCCGCTTTACCACCCTAGAGAACGCCCACAAGTTGTTCGACGATTGGCGTCCCCGAGTGGATGCGACCATCGACGACTTTCACGTCGAGCTAGGTGCGATGCGCAAGACTATGAATCGAGTGGTTCCCGATTCCAAGGCTGCTTCATCGGCAGGCCTCCTCACCAAGACAAAGATGGTTGCGGCGTCAGCATCCGCCGGTAACCCAGTCATCGGCCCTAATGGGCACCGCGTCGACAAACATCAACGGGGGGTTGGGTTTCAAACCTGTCTCCTGGTCAAGGGTACATGTGGTTTCCCTGAACCCAAGCTCATTCGGTCTATATCTCATTCATTGTTGGAGGGTTTGGGTCATCATCCGTTGGGTCCATGTAAGAGGGGTGAAAGAAGTATATGGATCTGAATCCTCCTATCTCCAATAAAGACCTCGTCTGAACCTGCCTCTTTCCTACTTTCTTCCCAAAATTTCCTTCCTCAATTATCTGGTTGTTAACAAAAACCACATCATTGACTAACATATATTTACTTGTCCACATCAGAGTGCTACATCATCCATTAACATACTTATGATATTTATCCATTCATATAAGTAATTATACGTAGTATAGTTTTATCTGTGATTCCCGTAGCAACATGCGAAGTATTCATGTAGTATTAAGAAAAAAAATACATGGCTATTTTGAAAAAAATGCATACATTGTATATCTTTTAGAGTGTTTTTATATGCTCAACCTACATCCTATAGATGGTATGTCCAGTGTGGCAGTGTCCACCATCACTTCCGTGTTAAATTAGTGTAACGTTGGCTTTCCCAAATTACTATCCCGGCATGGAACAACTTTTGTAAAAGACAATTCAAAGTATTGGGATCAAATAAAAGTCCCACAAAAATTTTTATATTAAACATGCATTTGGTTTCTAGCTTGTTTGGACGTCATGTATCAACACTAACTCACCCCAACATACATGGATTGAGGTAGATACATGCGCATCCAAAGAAGGCCTTAGGGATTGAAATGGGTTAGACCCATGTATTGAGAATAGTCGTCTTTGGAGAAAAACAAATTGAAACGTGGAGGCGTGGAAAAGAAAATTTTAGTCAGAGTTCTCTATACTGAAACGTGGAGCCAAGAATTTTACTCTAATTTGTTGTTCCAATTTAGTTGATTAGAAGTAGACAAAATTTTCACCTGCATTTAGTGCTCATTCAAAACAAAAAAAAATGAGAAGAACCGTACAAAACTTTTATAGAAATCATTTCAATTTCACGAGAAAAAACACAAATTTCAAAACAAATTCCATGTATTCCAAAACTGCCTTAGCCAGCCGACACATTGGTAGGCACCCGGTGGAAACATCCAAACACACCCAAATTCCAAACATGTCCGCCTGAACCTGCAAGCCGAGCACGAGCGAGCCATGGTACAACTTCAGACTCCACGTCGCAAGCCGTGGCTGGGACGATGAGCTGTAGTGCACGTCACTGCCGATGTGGACCGCGTCCGGCGCCCACCCCGGCGCCACGACGCCACGGCACCGCAATAGCAGCAGCAGGCAACGGAACCGGGGGGCGCAGCCGCGTAGGTGCACACTGCACACGGTCACCCCACGTTTCTCCCTCGTTTCCAACCCGCCGCGCAGCCCAGCAGGATCCATCCAATTCCATCCACCTCACCTCGCGTCGTCGTCCACCTCACTCTTCCCCTCTCTGGCTCTCTTCCTCGCCGCAGGTCACGCGCGCAGGCAGGCGCCGACTAGTATCTGACGTATATCTCCTTCCTCCGCCCTCTCCACCCCCCCGTGCACAGGCCCCTCTCTACAAATCCCCGATTAAACCCTAGAATTCCCCCCAATGTGCGCCCCCTCCTAGGTGGCGCCCCCCGAATTCGGCACCGGCTCCGCGGAAGGTACGGGATCTCTCGCGCCCAGCTCCCTCTCCTCTTGCGCTGGCTTTGATCTTGCTCGGAGCTCGCCGCGCCCCCGCGCTGTGAAGTTCGCTGCCGGCTCTGGGATAGGAACCGCCGCTGCTGCTTTGGGATGCTCGTGCGTGGGAATTTCCCCTGATTCGGTTTGGTTTCGTGCCGCGCTGGGATGGTTTCAGCCGGAGTCGGGTCGGGGCCTCGAATGATTTTTACTTGTTTGATTAAGCGGCTGCTTGTTCTTCTCTGGGTTTCTTGGAGTGATGTTGTGTGCTTCTCAAGCTCAGCTCCTGCGCGATGTCTGAAGCTGCAAGGTTTTGGTCTGGCGTCGACGACGGTCATGCCATGTGCTGCTCGGGTAGTCGGGTTGTCTAGTCACAGTCTCTGCTTCTGCTTCTTCTGATGCTCTCCACTCTACAGGACAGAACTCCAGGTCTGTCATAACGAGAGGCAGTTCTCATTACGGCTTGCCTGGCTCGGCATCCTTTCTGGGGCTGCTTTTACTGCCTTATCGAAAAGGCTCGAATTTTGTTGCCATCTTTTGCAAAGCCAGAATAGGACTCTAGCTACTAGTGTCGGCTATCAATGTCTGGTTGTTGAGTTGGGAATGGATTTTTATTTGGCTTCCAGGTCCCTCTGTGGTTTAGTACCTTTGATCCTGGTTTTTAATGGTTTCGTTTTGAGAACCTGAATATTAGTTGCAGTTACAATGTCAGAAACAACACACAAGAATATTCAATTATTTTACCGCTTTGTTTTTCCATGATTATTCCATATAACAGACATTATTTCAGCATGAAGTGATTTGTGGACTGTAGTTAATATTGGCTTCCCAATGTTACGTGTTTTGCAGGTGTGCAAGCCAGGGTGCATACAATGAGTGCGGGTTTCAACAAGCAGATATTGGCTCAGAAGCTTTCGAAGCTTAATAGCTCACAGCAGAGCATAGAGAGTATCCTTCTTGCCAGTTTCTCAATCCCCATTAACTTAACACTTTCTTTTCTGCATGAAGTATTTTTTATCTTAACTTCTCATATGAGTTATTTTCATATTTTATTGGCTTGTATAGTTGTTTGGTTTGCAAAGTTCAAAATCATAGCTTAAGATTACAGGAAAAAAGGTAGTTTTATTGTATTAACATTCCAGATCACTGTGTTAATAAATCCCATTCAGTTGATGACCTTTCATGCTTCATTGTGACCAGTTCGTAGCATTATGCTTGTCATTCGCTGCCCCCTGCTCAAGATTGCTACCTACTATTGCTGACTGTGATTATTTTCTCATGTGCTACATTATTTTACCCATTCACGTAATGTCATCCTTAACAAAAGAAAAGCTTTATCAAATTGGTGTGTCTTTCATCATCGTTACTGCCAACAAGTTGTACAAACATGGGATTGCGAGTTCCATGCAGCTCCTGTAGAGAGGAGGGTATCTTTGCTGTACCTTGCAAATGATATTATGCAGAATAGCAGAAAAGAAGGCAATGGATATATAACTGAATTCATGAGGGTCATCCCTGCTGCCTTGAATGAAGTGTTGACTGTCAGAGATGATTTTGGGCGGAATGTCCCAAAAAGACTGGTATGTTGTACATGTCATTGATATCTATATTCATGCAAGTGCATTATTACTCATGTCGTTCAAATTGTGGTTTTAGTTATCATCATAACAGAAGGGCAGGCCTAGTGCAGTGGTGAGAGCTGTCTCACTGAGTCACCAAGTCGTGGGTTCGAAGCAGCCTCTCCGCAGATTTTGCGGGGGGAAGGCTTGCCTCGGTTTTTCCCTTCCCTAGACCCCACTCACGTGGGAGCCTCCAAAGACTTGGAGTCGCCCTTTTTTTAGTTATCATCATAACAAATATGCTAACAACTTCATGTCCATATCTATGTGCTTACTTTAAGGGCAAGTTTATTAGAATGGTAGTCGCTATGCTTACTACTTGATATTTTTATTCTAGATACTCTTTGGGCACAAGATACACAAAGCATGCGAGGGTTCATGAATAGTATTTCTAGCCTCTAGGAATTGGTTCAAAAAAACAATCATGTTCCTGTCTTCACTCCTCTCAATCACTTTCTTTCTCTTAAAGCAATTGGGGTTGGGGAATTCAGTGCTTGTGTCACATAGTGGTGATGAAGAAAGGTGGTGTAAAGTATGGAGAACATGAAAGCCCACTCTTCGCCTTAACTTTGTTGGCATGTCGTCGATTCAGAAGTTGGCATATCATTGTCATGGCTGTCATTGTGTTTGGGGACTCATGTCAAGATACTTTAGCAGAGCATCATGCTAACGATATGAGCTAGGCCGACGGTGGTTGGTGTTTTTTTGGGGGATGAGGGGGGAGAAGGGCAACATAACTCTCTCCCTTCCTCGCTCTCAATCCCTCACTCCTTCCCTGGTGTATGTTGTTGAATAGATGGTCATAGGAAGCAAGCCTCGATAGGGCACCTATGCTAACACTTAGATGAGACACTTAGAAGGGGCGAAGGGCATTGCACCATCGAACTCGCTTAACAATGGCCTTTCGGTGGGCTCATGGACAAACCTGTTGCATCCTGGTGTTCAATGCCCTAGGTTCATTGTCTCCATAACTTGGACGACGTGGGTCGATGTTTGGGACGGTAGGTGGGATGACACATTGATTCTTGAATGTTGCCATGATAGAGCCGTACGGGTTCATACTCTAGATCCCAGTTAGATGGAGAACTTTGATTAGGGTGGTGCGCTTGCATGTCTCCATGCAGGTGCTGCAGGTGATCAAGGTTGGGAGGCACACTCGGTGGAGGAAGGATTGGCAGTGGTGTCATGGTATCTTGTTGTCTATGGCGGTGTGAGATCTCAGTTCTTAGTGCCGACATCACGCATGAGTGATTAGCTAGCGTTGAGCCCAACAAACTAAGTGTTGCTTGGATGTCTTGTATGTTGGACATGCAAAGGCTAGATTGCAAGCTTATTTATGTGCAAGAAAGCGAAGGAGATGAAGGAGTGTTTATTGTTATTGCTCCTTTTTTTTGACAAGAACTTTTTTGAGGAATGATCCACAACTTCTATTTTGACTGGTTGTTAATTTGTTCAATAGGCTTGTAGGCGGGGCAGGTAATTACCGCAACCCGCTAACCCCGCCCCGCAAAATCATGTTTGTGGCTCATGTGGAGTAGCTACAATTGTTTTGCGGGCCAAACTACCAATCTCGCAAGTGGCTTTGGTCCGCAAGCAGTTGTTCTCCACGATTAGAAAGCCTCCATCGATTTCTGCTTCGCCTACCTAGCTCTAATCCCCTCAGGTCACGGTAGCCGGCACGGTATTAAGCATGCTTGTCGGGCTACTTCAAACCAACGCAGGAGCACGCACACAAGAGCACGGAAGCTGAAAATTTGTTCGCATGTGCTGTGATCTTGCTAATGGCGGGCGTCATGAGGCAAGTGAGGCACTCATTGAGTCGGGCGTCTTCTGCGGTGGGGTGTCTGTGCCGACGGGGCCACACACACTGCAGCTGGCACACATCAAGAAGATCATGAAGCGCTCCGTGGGGAGACTGTGGACGGCGGCGACAGGATGATCTCAAGTGAGGTCCCCGTGGTGTTCTTCCAGATCATCGCCAAGTTCAAGTGCTGCCCTGGGAGGCCATGCTGTCTAGACTGTGCACAACACCAACCTATTCAACGTCCTCATCCACGTCGTCCTAGTGGACAACACGGGGTTCGACGGGCACTATGACGGTGACAAGCAGGGTGAGCTCAGAATAACTTGCATGCGAACAGTATGCGGGTTGCCGTAAAGTCCACAAAACACTAGCGGTTCCATGCAGGTTTGCCGTAAGTCCCGTGAGGACACTTGGCGGATAGCCGCGGACGAGCCCTCTTGCAATGCTATTGTTCGATGAAATTCAATTGAGGCATGTATCCCTATGTAATCTCCTAAAATTTTGAACCTTGTTGAGGATTGATCGTCAAACCATTGTCCAAATAAAATTTGATTCATGTGCCGCGCAACATGCTACAAATGGTAGTTTGGATTTCCATTTTGGTCTTGTATTGACCTAGCAACATGAAGGGCAGGCCTGGTGCAGCGGTGAGAGCTGTCTCACTGAGTCACCAGGTCGTGGGTTCGAAGCAGCCTCTCCGCAGATTTTGCGGGGGAAAGGCTTGTCTCGGTTTATCCCTTCCCCAGACCCCACTTATGTGGGAGCCTCCGGCACTGGGTCTGCCCCCTTTTTTATTGACCTAGCAACATGTAATAGGTAGGTTCTCGCGGATTGCGCTAATTGGATGCCAAGTGGTGCCACTTGGCCATTCTTCAAACAATTAATTGTTTTGTACATCCTTTGAAGGAACAATCACTCCTACACTTGGAGTAATTGTTGTCTTCTGTGTGCAATTTTCTCGTTAATTGTGAATTGAGATGCTCGATCCGTCACATTACCTATCCATGTGACATTTTAAGCACAACACTTTTTGTCGATGAATGAAGATTGTAGCATGTATGTTTGAAGCTTGCAAAGTGTCCACTCAATATAGTGGAATTTCCTCTTTCATAAAAAGTCCAAAAGTATGAATCACAAGCACTTGATCTTGGTGTGCCATTTCTCTATAAGAAGCTTCGTCATCAATTGGTGTCACAATTGGGGTTGCCTACACACCCAGATTGTCTCGCCATCGAATGACTGGATGTGGTGGTGGCATTAGGTCCACGATGTGGGCTAGTGAGGCTTCAACTCATGTGTACTTGTCCCCTGGCTTTATGGAAGGATCGTAGTCACGCATGATCTTTTCCATCTTCGTAATGATTTTGGCTAGGATTGGTGCCATCGGAGCTAAGAAAGATCTCTTTGGTGTTGTCGAGAGCCAAGTGCTAGCCATGGTATAGCTCCGAGCCAAGACTTCAACATGCCCAATGCCCGAGGAAGGGCTACGTGAGGGCGTGCTTCATATGTGAACGCCACAAGTCGGAGCACTTGCAACCTTTGCCAATCCCAAAATCAATGTGGTCTGATGTCACGATGGACTTCATTGAGGGACTTCCCAACGTCGATGGCAAATCGGTGATCCTCAACCTTGATTGATCAAGGACTTACCAAGGTCGGTGGTTGATAAGTGATCCTCAACCATGATTGATTGGTAGAGACGGTGGCCTGTCGAGGTCATCTTCTTGCATGGATCCTGTCTTCCATTTGTGTGGGACAAACCTTGTTTTCACTTCAGCTTTTCGAAAGGTGTTGTTCGATGCATCCGATTCCAAGCTTCAGATGAGCTTCGAGGCAATTGACAGGGTAATCGCCATGTACTTGCTATCTATGACAGTTGGTCGTCCTTGATAGTGGGTAAAGTGGCTCCCTTGGGCCCAATTCATCTACAACAATTACTACCACTCGACGCTCTGTGACGATGTTCTGGGTGTCAGTCTGCTCCTATGAATCGGGCAAGCTATGTGTCGTCTCGGCACCCTGTGCCATGCAAGAGTGTGACGAGTTCCTCGTCGACATCCACGACTGTCTCGAGCAAGCATAGCACATTGCCAAGTAAAGTTATGACCGTGGCCATCGTATGCGACATCCTTTCTTGTCGGGGATTGGGTGTGGCTTCGCCTTTGTCATCACGCACCAGCAAAGGATAACAACACCGGCATGTCCACCACAGAGCGCATGAAGGGAAGGTGCCAGGCAATTGACAGAGTCAAGATGTGTGTGTGTCCACCTGCGTGTGGAGGGTATCCAAGTAGAGCCTACAGACAATGTAAAACCAGCTATATAGCTAGGCACTTGTAAGAGGAAGACAAGCTAGAACCGAGTAAAACTCAAATCGTGTTAAAGGAGACTTCCTCCTCCCCAAGTTATCCATGTTCGATCCTTGCCGTGATTACTCATGTCAATGGCGGCCACGGTGTTACAACACCCTTGTTTTCGATGGCTTCAAGGGAAGCTCCAGCCTTTGCTTCGATGGCCCACATACAAGATCAACGCTCAAATCTGCCCAGTGGATTTCAAACTTGAGCTCCCGGTGGTGCATGCATCCACGACGTCTTCCACATCGGCTCGCCCAAAAATTTCTTGGGTGATCCTCCTTAATGTAGTGGGAGAGTCCCACTGCAGATCACCACTCCACCATGGTGCGACCTCTCTCTGTTCATGAGCGAGCACTAAAACGCAGCTTGGCTCGCGGTGTTTGCCCACTATTGATCAAGTGTTTGGACCAACGACTCCACCACGTTGTGGGAAGACCTAGAGCTCTTCCAGAGGAAGTACCCTCCTAGCCCGGACGGAGCGATGTTATGTGGGGCAAGAAGAAAGAGCAAGAGAATCATGAAGGATCGAGAGGAGTTGATCCAGGCGCTAGAAGGAAGGCACCATTAGTAATTAGGCTTGCCATTTGCTATTGATCTCTATTAGGATAATTCAGTGGAATTTAAACACATTCTACTTTTGGTTGAGTATCTAAAGGAGCGTTGTCAATTGGATAAGGCAAGCAAATAATTATTCCTAATTCTCCTCCCATCTTTGTGAGCTCTTCCTCTGTTAGTTACGAGGAAGCAAGGCAAGGATATCGCCTCCCGTCGAGCACCTTCACCAGCCACTCTCAAAACAAACAAGCACCCACAACAACGAACTTCTCAGCTTTTTGCTATATAATGAATATGTCATCCTTTGGTCTACACAGGTTTGCTTATGCATTGTATGTAGCGATATGTGCACACCGTCAAATGGAAAACATGAAGAAAATTACGGTTCATGAGCTCATTATGCTAAGTTCCTTGTGTGCCTTGATCGACCGGTCATCTACCCGTCCATCGTGGAGAACGGCGCCTCTTGGTTGTTATCCTCTCCACTCCAACCCTAATTCCCGTGCCTCTCTACTTCCCCCTTGCGCACTCATCAACAATGCCCTAGTAACGATCTTGATGCCATCATGGCCAAGCTGGATCGCATGTTTGGCGAGCTGACCACGATGAACAACCGCCTTGACAGCCATGATCACCAGATCACACGCACCGAAAAAGTTCAAGATGAGCAGCGATCGCAAGGTGGAAGGTGGTGCCGATAAGACTCCATCGGTGTTCCGCGACGATGTCTCCCTCGGGGTGGCAGCGGCGGTCACCGCTACTACCGTGACAACTACGACGACGATGGCCACGGCCGCCATCCGTGCCACCCGGGGCTCAAATTTCCCTGCTACGACGGCGAGTCTGATCGCTTGCCTTGGCTCAACAAGTGCGACGGCTTCTTTCGGGGTCACTAAAGAAAAGGTGTGGATGGCTTCTCTTCGCCTCGACGGCGCAGCGGGGGAATGGTACTACCAGATGGAATGCGATTTCAGGATCGTGTCGTGGCCGCGCTTTGTCAAGTACTTGAACCTATGCTTCGGGCCGCCCATCCGCTCGAACGCTTTGGGTGAGATCAAGGCCCTCCAGTGTATGGGGTCGGTGGAGGACTACCGGCGCCAGTTCCTTGCCCTACTGTGCTGTTGTGAGAAGCTCACACCGCAACATCAGATTGATCTCATCACTGCTGGTCTAGGGCAGCCGCTGTGCTCTGATGCACCACTTAAAAAATGGAATGAAACTATCCCTTTGCACATCATTCTGCTATCCCTCTTAGATATATGTTACTTCTTTTGTTCCTTAGCTGTCCATACTTCCCCAAAGGCTGATGTTAAGCTTCCTCAAAGCACTGTTTGATTTGACCTAATGAACTGTTGAGGTGCGATTGTGCAAGTTAGCATCAGGAGATCTGTGCGACCTAGTATAAATTAGCTTGCACGTTAGCACCACTTTCTGCATTATTTTGTCTTGCACTTTAGCATAACTTAGCTTGCACGTCACCTATCCTACTTTCTGCATTATTTTTTCTTGCACTTGCCCTGGTGAATCCTTGTGCAAAAATCAGAAAGTGGTTGCATACTCATGTAAGTCTTAGCTCCAACAACAACAACAACAACAAAGCCTTTAAGTCCCAAACAAGTTGGGGTAGGCTATCCATTAGAATGGCTAGATTTAACGTTGGCTCGCCACGCCAATCACAACCCTCCTCCTTTACCAGGGCTTGGGACCTGCTATGTTGAGACAACATAGGCGGAGTTTAGTAAGTTAATCACTTGGGATGATAACCTGTGGGTTTATACCTCGCTTTCCGACAGATAATTTTTTGTTTCATCTCATATTTTTTCCCCTCGATGTTACAGATTGACATATGGGAAGACCGTAAAATATTTGATACTCAGGCACAAAGCCTCAAAGATGACTTTTTCAGGAGGTTAAAGGACATTAGAAACAAGTTGGTAAGTGAGTTGATTTATTTCTATTTTATGACCCTGTGACCTCCGTTGAGGTGTACATCATGGTTTCCATATGGACAGACAAATAGGGGCAGTGAGCTGCTGGAGAAGGTTGTCTCTAGCTACAAACATGTCCTGAATGCTCCTATGGATGAGGATACTCTGATGCGGAAATGCCAAGCAGCTCTTATCAATCTTGATGAACTCAATAAAACGTATGGAAATAACTCCGTTTTAGGTAAGCTATATGTATTCAAAGGATATTCTCACATGTCCTGTTATTATTTACTAGTTAATATGTAGCTCCTAGCATCCAGAAACTAGTGATTATGTGGAGTTATAGTTTGGTCTGCAAGTTCTTCACCTCTGAGTTGTGGTGCGCCACATCTGCAGGGTTTCCACAAAACCAAAACACTACCATGGCCTCAAGCCATAACACATTGATGTTTATCTGGGCATGGGTTTGTTGTACCTAGGTTGATGTAGCTTATGTGCAAAAGGTTTGCATCACACCTGTGTTGCAACCGAGAGATCCTTGAGCCTAGATGGTTTGTATAAAGAGATGCACTGTACGTTCAAAACCCTCATTTCCATCTTTAGCAAGAGGAGGTTCAGTGACTAGATTTATTGTGTTTCAGCCCTATGCCCTGATGACATTGTCAATGGAACTTCTGAGCAATTTCTACCTTGAGTTGCCTCACAACAGACACAGCAATTGCATTCTTCCACTGCTTAGTTTCTTCAGCCTTGGCTAGATTCAGGGGTTGGTGGTGTCATGGTCTTTCCTCTGAAATATGGGCAGCAAGCAAAAGGACCTATGCTTTTGATGATCCTCTCATACTCACTGTTGGTTTATAAGGGCTATAACAAACAACTTCGAGCTTAGCTTTGTGACCACAATGAATGGTTCCCTTGGCTTTTGAGGGCACACACTAAATAAGTGAAACTTAATATCATATGCCACACGGTGTGCTATGGAGAATTGATTCATATAGCCTCATAGGTGGGCTGGGCACAACCCAATTGTTGTCCCAACCTCAGTCCAACCTGCTTAGATCCAGCTAATTTTAATGAGGTTGCAAGGTAGTAACTAGATTGGTTATCTTTGTGTTGTAGCTTGAATTTTCTGTCGCATATTGGCAGGTAGCAGCAATCGATCGGGCTTTATGCAGGAGCTGCAGGAACAACATAGCATTCTCAGAAACTCCATCGAACAACTCAAAATGTCAGAATCACTCAGGACCACTCTGATTTCTCATTTGAAGGAAGCGCTGAATGAGCAGGTGCTGAAGCAAATAACTCTGTAAGGTCTGTTTTATCTGTTAAATGGATCTTCCGGTGCTTACAGCGATTCATTTATTTTCAGGAGCTCAAAGTGGAACAAGTCAGAAGCCAGCTTCAGGTAATTTCCTTCAACCAGCATTGCTGTTTCTTCTGATCAAAGTTCACTTTGTGGATTCCTAACCACAATACACCTTTTCTATTTATTTATTTTTATAGCATTGCTATGCCACTTATACTTCTCAATGAATAGAACTTCTGTATTGTAGAATACTTACAACTTACTTCACCTTTATGTGTTTGCGTACTATTATGTTTTGGGGCCATCTGTTTTGGGTTTAATGAGACTGTTGATTCCCCTTAGTAAAATGGTCACAGACTACTTAGAGGCAGGACCGACTGCTACCTGTAACCTTTGAATCTAACAGTTAAGGTTCTCTATGTTAGGGAAAGAAGCAGTTTACCAGATTACTAATGCTTTTCGGTTCTCTATGTTAGGGAAAGAAGCAGTTTACCAGATTACTAATGCTTTTCCACCATGAATCAGGCAGCTCAGCCCCGATTCAAGAGAGCTGCTGAGCTCTGCGTGGGGCTTGGAAGCAACATGGAAAGGCATCAGCCATCAAATCAAGGGCTTAAGAGGTCCAGCCTCTCTGATCCACTTAGTACTGTTGCTCCAGAAGCTGCGAAATCTCTTCAAAAGGGACAATCAAGTGTAGTGTTGTATTCAAAGGAGGGAAATGGTGTTGAGCACAACGTGACAGAGACAAAGCTTGCTGCAGGTGCTGCTTCAGACAATATACGTGGTGGTGCTTTGCCTTCACGTGTCAATGGGGGCAACACCATTGTGAAAATAGAAGAGCACACTTCTGGTAACAAGAGGCAGAAGCTAGAGGACGACACACATATTTCTCAGCCTCAATCACAGTCACCACCACCGCCGCCGCCCCCATTCCCTCATCCTGATGCATTTAAACCACCACCACCACAGTATCCTCCATCACCAGAGCCTAGCCCGCCACCACTGCCGCCAAATTCACCGCCACCCCATATAATCCCCCCACCGCCGCCGCCTCCGCCCACAATGCGACCCCAAATGATCTCACATCTACCACCTCCAGCTGGTACGTTTGTACCTTTTCCTGCTGGACCACCTGGTCCAATGTATTGCACTTACCCACCTTTTACTCCTGTGGTCAACTTTCCCATGACCAGCCCACCTGGTTTCCCTAGTCCAAACCCGCCTCCACCTTTTCAAGGATTAGCGGGTACATTCTATGGCCCTCAGTTCCCCACCCCACCCCCACCAGCAGACAGGAAATAAGAGTAGTAACTTACCTGCAGATTTGTAGTGCCAGCAGCTTTGGCAAGTATCATACTAGTTTTTTTTTTTGTTTCAACAGAGGATATGACTGGGGGGATGCATCGCCATGTGTTGTGGAGCTCAGAAGATTGTTCTATTGTTGTACATTTAGCCAGCCAGCGCGCAACAGTTAATTTTCTGAACTAGTTCTGGTCTTGGTCCTGGAGTAGAAGTGTAGAACCTGTAGATTTCGACTGCTAGAGGGAATTTGGATTTCTGAGAGCCGAGAGCAAATGCCTGCGACAGTTTAATAATTGACTGATCTAGTAGTTCTGGTCTTGGTGATGGTGTAAAAACTGTAGATTCTGAAAGCTTAGAGAGAAAATATGGAACGCAATAGGCAAAGACAAATGTTGTAGCATGACATGTTGTAACTCATCACAACTATGTTCTTTGCTAGATCATCCGAGAACATGTAGATGTTCTTGTGATGTTTTGAGCGTGTAATTCTGTTGTTTGGTGTAAGATATGATGACTTCAGCTGCTGTCGATGGTTGAATCTTTTGCTCTGTTTTTAATTAGCCTTTTGCTCTCAGCTATTCTAGATCTTTTGCGTCTACTTTTGCATGTGTTCCCAAGTAATCTAGTGTTCTGCCTTGGTTTCCATGTGTATAGGAAAGCTATATCATGTTCTGGTGCCTCGGCATTGTTTCTCTCCTGCTGGCTGCTGCATTCAGGTAGGCATGTTTCAAGCACAGCTGGGTATTGCTCCCTGCCAATCTCTTGATAAAAAGGTTTGTTTTTTGGGGTGCAGATTGTCGATGGTGGATTGGTGGTTGCAGTGCCTTGTACGATTGATATCGGTCTTGAAGCATAGGGGCAATAATGCATTGCTTTAGTCTTTTGTGCAGAACCACCGATCTCGAGAGTGCTCCATGGCTGACTTGCTGGTAAGTCGTGATGTCCTGGTGGCCCAAAGTCTTCAATTTTCGTAGTGAAATATGTGTGCGATTCCTTCAGCGCCCATCGATCCATGTCTAGTCTAGCTGAAGAGAGAGCCCTTTTTCTTTACATTACATTACAGGGGAAAACAAGAAGCAACCCTAAGTCACTCGTTCGTGGCCCCGTGCTTAGACAATGTAGAGCCCAGTGCAGAGCCGTGTTGCCCAATATGACAGCGGATCGTGTTGCGTCTTTGTCGAGTGCCGACATACATAGAATCATGTCACCCCATATAGGCCACGCCAAGTATCCATTGACCAAGGTGGAAGATTACGGAGAAAAAAAAAAAAACTTCATTTCACACTAGGCAGCATGGGCCTGGATATATACGTGCTACCAGTCTACCCTGATGTGCCTGTCCGTGGGCACATCTCTCTGTGTAGAAGACTCTTGACTTTGACCTTGAGAGGCTTCGCAGTCGCCGTCACGAGCACCATCAAAGTCGTGAATCCTAGCACCCCAATAATTGCGATTCGTGGGAAAGCAACACGACACGGGCCAGGTTGCCTTTTCCTGCCGCGAAGCTACTCCCTCGCACACATTTTCGTCCCTTGCTTGTTCGCGTTCCAGGATCAAAGATGGCTCCATAATCGTCTGTCACGCGAACAGAATCTCAGTCCTGCACTCCTGCTGCGCGTCCTGTAATTTTCATGGCCTCCTCGGCCCCGCTACACACGGAAGTGAGGCACGACAACTCTCGAGACTTGAAGGTGTGTAAGTCCAATGCCGAAAGGTTGTTCACGGGAACATGGTCTATATATATGATGTCAGAGTCAATATCAAAGGCCTATAATAACATATACTCCCTCCCATCATCACCAATCCATATCATATTTAAAACTGTACTGCCTTCGACGGTTGATTTCTTCTATAACATATCCTTAAAATCTTCTATTTAAATGATGAGATTTTTCAGAACATTATGCACATATGAAGTTATGAACGTACGCACGCACGAATACATGCATTCGAAAGACTGAGTTGAAAGATGTCAAGATTGATGAACTCATCGGCAACGTCTTATAGTTAACGGACATGTGTTTTTAGAAATGGCAGCAAAAGCTTTATCACAATTTCTATTAGACGAAGAAAGAAAGAAAAGACAAGTGCCCGCCCAGTCTTTTGAGTGGAAACTAGACCCAAAACCATACAACTGAGGAGAGTGCCCCACTGATCCTAATAACTTTGGTACAACAACCGACAACTATCACAACTCCCACTACTTGATCCAACTTGGTCAAAAAGACCCAACTAACAACTCAACTAGCAACTAACAAGGACTAAAGAAGACGACGTCCTGTCGGACGACACCAAACCGCAAGGATCAACAGTGGAACTGGAAAGCCTAACCATGCCCTCAAGGAGGAAACGACGCTGAAAGCGTCGACAAGGTAGCCCGTCAAGAGAAGGTTTACACCTGCAACATCTAGTACGGTAGGAGAGGTAGGAAAGGACGCCTTCAAGAAGGGAACGACGTCCGCAGACGTCGTCGTCCACGCTTTCGCCCCGACCTCAAACCAACTTCACACCATCGCCGCCAGAGGCCCAACCCTACCAGGAGGCAGGGTGCGGCGATGGTTTAGCAGGAGCCCCGCCTAGACGCCGCCCCTAGGGACACAGACCAGGAGAAGCATCGGGGGAACCCACCGGAGAGTCTACCCCCCGCCGCAACCGGCAAAGCCGGCCAGCAGCAGGCAGAACCGGCCAGCTCCTCCATGAAAGCCAGCCCGGGGAAGGGGAAAGGCAGATGGCGGGGAGAAGAGAGCCAGGATAAGAAGCCCCAGTCGCCCAGCCACCAGCGTCCCCACCCCTGCCGAGTCGGCCCCACAAAACTACGCCGCGCGACACCTCGAGCAGCCTCCGCGCCGAACTGCCGCCGTCACGCTCGCTCCCCAGCCCTCCGTGGATCTAGGACAGACCACTTCACTGACACCGGGCGAGGAAGACGTAGGATGTCGCAAAGGGAGCGCCAAGCACCAAGCGCCCACAGCTCCCAGCCACCGGCGCTGTTCCTAGCGCCCAGGCTGGAGCCGCCGCCGCCACATGGGTTCCCCGCCAGATCTGGCGAAGAACCACCAGATCTGGCCATCCCCACAGGGGCGAAACTAGAGCACAACGGTGGGGGTGCACCACTTATCCATAACTACAATAACCCATATGATGTTAAAAAAAGATAATTAATGCATAACTACCATATTTTTACATCAAAATTTGACTTCTAGCAATAGCGATGAGAGAGCTCACCGATAGTCCTCAATACTAAAATCATCAGGATATAGTTTTGCTAAGTTCATCAAAGTCTCCACATTGAAATCATGAAACGAGTCCCTTGGACTGAAAGCGGCCGAGCAAACAAGCAATTGAGAGCTTGTCACACTAAAGCGGCTATCAAGCTCTTGAACTACCCAATGAATAACATCGCTAAAGCAATCCATTCTATCAATTTCATGCATATCACAAAACTCATTCACTTCATTTAATAATTTCTCCCACCCATCTCTTCTAAGATCATATAAATGGAGTCTACATTTACAATGTACTCAACATTAGATGCAAATAAAAGGCAAAGTCAAAAGATTTGAAATATACTAGAAGATTTGATGCCTGATCTCTATTTTTACAATCTCTATCATCCTTTTCAACAACTTGTGGCACTTCAACTATTGTAGGAAACATGTTGACTAAACTATTGCAGTTATGGCTTAAAAAAAACTATTGCAGTTCTATACTATCAGAAATATATATTAAAAAAGAGAGAGAAAAATCACACTAACCCTAAACAGATTGAGGCTTAGCATGATTCAAATTCTGGATAATCGAGGGCTTGATGAGTTGATGCCTTGCCTTTTATTTTGGATCAATCTCTGTCGCCGGCCACCTCGTGCCAGGTTGCGCCGACGGCCGCCGGGCGCTCGGCTACTTGCCTACTCCCTGCATAGAGCCGGACAGGGCACAACCTGCAACCGTGTCGGCGTCAGTCGAACCCTTGCGGACTCGCGAGCGCGGGCAGCGGGTGCGTCTATTCGGGAGACACGAGTGGCAAGCGAAAGTGCGAAACGCCGAGGCTAGGACCTGGGAGGAAAAACGATTCCTCCTCCTATAAGGAAACTGAGAGGTGGGCTTGGGCCTCGATCTTTTCTAGCTGCTGCTTGCTGGCCTGCTGGGGGTGCCTCATTTTGGCCATGGGGGGTGCACATAAGGTGAAATGTTGATAGTTACAAGGAAATTTTGATTTTTGCCTGGGTGCCTGGGCACCACTGGGTCTAACTGAGCTTCGCCCATGATATATACTCCTATATATATGATGAATATCTAGGTATTTCAAACTGAAACCCAGTGGCTGCCTTTATTTTTGTTCTCTACTTTTAAGAAAGTGTGAGGTAGGTTACGTAGGCAGCATAGTAACTTTTAAGAAAATGTGAGGTAGGTTACGTAGGCATAATAATCTTTTTCAGTTAATGCATTCAAATATATAGTTAATCCCAACCATGCATATGCCTACTTCAAAGAGAAGAAACCCGAGATGCATGCTTTGATTCGGCTATGATTCAAATTTAACTTTGATGCCACTCCTCCGTTTCTTTTTACATGTCATATTAGCTTTGTCCTAAATCAAGCATTACTATATTTATCATCTAATTTTAAAAAACATATAGTTTCACAATATATAAATTATATATTATGAAAGTACTTATCATAGTGAACCTAAGAAAATATAAATCTTGTGTCATAAATCTATATGATTTTTTTTAAAATCGACGGTCAATGATACAAATAGAGGGCGTAGCACTACATGTTTTTTCTCGAATACGCAAAAGATTTGCATTCTAATTAAGGTAGAAGAGTTTAAACATACAAACAACACGTTTCGGCGAGCGCAATTTGGGGTCTTACCATCATAGGTTGTATCGTCCTAGCATACAGATTCAAGATTCGGAGCCTCGTAGAGCTCCTCGTAAGCCTTCCTTGCCGACGCGCTTGCCATTGATAGACCCATGGCCAATCCCATACGTTGCATG